CTCATAGGCGCGTTCAACGGAAGGGAATGATTTAATGACCAATCCGACACTGACAAGGAGAGGCTACGCTCGTCACCGATTTTGATCAAACTTGCAGCAATGTGTTAGAGGAGTCTACCAAATAAACACATGTAAAGCTGTTCCCGCTAATGGGGCTTAAAAGCTGAGTGAGAGAGAAAATGAGCATTTAAAAATATACCAAAAAATCTGAAAACAGTCTAATATCTCGGAAAGTATGCGTTTTTGAGAAAAATGTCGATAAAAATGGTAGGTTAAAATTTAATAAGATGTATTTACTGGTTTTGTTGATTTGATCTTGGAAGGCATCGTCAACCTTGACTTGACCTTAGCGTTACCAAGGTCAAACCAATAAAACCAGTAAATACATCTTATTAAACCCCACCATTTTTGTCTAAGACATTTTTCTTAAAAATGCATACTTTCCGAGATATTAGAATGCAGTCTAATCTGCAGTCGACATTTTTCGTTACCTGTGGATCATCTAAGTATCAAAGTAGCATCAAAATATGAGAAACATTTGTAGCTTCAAAGTAATATTGAAATAAAATCTATAGATTTAAAGGTTTAAAAAAGGAGTTATTAAATGTAACGTCATCAAAGTAGGTTTTGTAGCATTTGTAGGTTTTGTAGGTTTTGAAGCATTTGTAGCTTCAAAATAATATTGAAATAAAATCTATAGATTTAAAGGTTTAAAAAAGGAGTTATTAAGTGTAACATCATCAAAGTAGGTTTTGTAGCATTTGTAGGTTTTGTAGGTTTTGAAGCATTTGCAGCTTCAAAATAATATTGAAATAAAATCTATAGATTTGAAGGTTTAAAAAAGGAGTTATTAAGTGTAATATCATCAAAGTAGGTTTTATCTAGTTTATAGACTATTTAAATAGGTGCAAACTATCCAATGTCAAAGTAGTATCAAAATTTCGACTCGGGATGTTTTCAGATTTTTTGGTATATTTTTAAATGCTCATTTCACTCAGCTTCTAAGTCCCATTAGCGGGAATGACTTTACAGGTATTCATTTGGTAGACTCCTCTAATATTGATGCAAGTTTCATTAAAATCGGTGAAGAGCAGAGCATAGCCTCTCCTTGTGAGATCAGTCTATCTTATCGTCGTTTCTCATATATTCTTTGAGAGTTTATCAACTTTGGAAAAAAGACTACAAAGAAGCATCATATTATACTGAAGAGATGTTAGCCAAATTAGAGATCTTCTAATAAGGAAGGAAGGTATATACTCGCAACATCCTGTATGTTTTGTTCCGCGTTTCGTAGGAGCCTTCATTAGCTTTAATTCACGTTCCGCGCTCGTCTTTCGCAGAATTCACGTTTTTTTTCGTACCGGAAAAAACAGAGACACGACTGACTATTGTTGAGTTATGACAGCTGATCTTATCGAAGTTGCTATCAGTCAATAACATCAGTGCGACATGTCTTTCAACAAGTCTGTCGACTCAATCTTCTTTATAGCGAATTCAGTCACTTGCGTTACAGATTAGTGCATATTAAAAGTTGCTATTTATTTAAAAATAACAAAGTTGAATGTAAAAGCGTATATAAATATTTTAAACGATTAAATGCACAAAAATAATATCGTCTTGTTATTTAACAGAATATACGTGTTTCATTGTCAAAGCCGATAATATCATACACTACATTTAGACATATTATGTTTTGTAACTGATAGAATCTCATAACGACAATCTTGCTGACGTCTTACCTTTTGCTTACCGTTCTATCTCTGATACTTAAGGTCTGTTTTTTTTATTCCTGCACTAGCCTGTACTAGAATTTTCTTTCTTGCTTTTGTCAAATATCATACATATATCTAACTTTAAGTTTCAAAAGTGTACAATCTTGTTGACAGCCACAGATAACAGACCTTTGGCACCTTTAGTACTTTGTATCTTATTATTACTCGTCGAAATTTTAGTCTTTCTTTCAATCTCTTTCAACCTCAATTAAACCTTATAAACCTATTCAATACTTAAACAATCATAGGACCTCTTTTAATATTAGATGCTTAATCTATAGCCTCTATATTTCGAGAACTTCTTTCGAACCTAAAAGTAGAAAATTTTCCGGTAACTGCTATTTAGAGGCTCAACGTAGGAACTCAATTCATTAGATTAGAACCTATTAGAAATCTGTAGAGTCTACATATGTCCTAAAATTTAGATTCAAAGTAGAAGCGAAATTTCGACTTGGACAGTGTTGAACAATATAGTAACAAAGTAATATTATAGTAATATTATTATTATTGAGATACTTTATATAATATTATTATGTAAATTAAGTATTATATAATTATTACATAAATTATTATTGTTATTATTATTATTGAGATACTTTATATAAATTAGCCTTTTTAATGTCGACAATGTAGAGTGCAAGTGATTAAATTCACCATTAAATTCAACGAAGGAAAAAACAACACCCAATGGACCAAAATTGATTCTATCCAGCAAAAAATCGAAAAGATGAATTCGCGACGATCTCTCGTGAACGTCTGAGGAAGGATTTTTCAGCTTTAGCTACTGTGTAGAACCGCGACAATTAAAAATAGAAGTGATTTCTGGTGCGAGATCAGAAATAGCTCGCGCGACGAGGGATTCGTCTCGTGCCAAACAATCTGTTTTATTTCGCAATGTTGTTGTCCGTACGGCGTGGAAGGTCGGTAAGATTTGTAATGACGCTTAAGAATCGAGCAGACCTATGGACAGCCGAGGTAACGGACTCTCGACTCGAGAAATAGCGAGAGGAAGAAACCGGTCGGAGCGTTCGACCGAATTTTTACTCCGGCTCGACGCAAGTGAGCTCTCGTCACGGAATGATCATGCATACCGGAGCCAAGGACTCCGCTCGTGGCAGGCACAGTCGTGCACCGCGTGCAAAAGCCGCTCATTCATGAGCGTCCCTCGACGATGGCAGTTTCACCCAGTGGTATCTGGTGACGTAGAAAAAGTTCGAATTTCAGAAATACAAAAACGCACTAATGACGACCGATGCAGGTAGCAAACGCTTGAAGAATGTGATTTGTCCACGAAGATATCTTTTCTTCTTTAGTATGCCATATCAGGCTATTTTGACAGTGACGACCGCTTTAGAGAGTTTTTTCATGGCTATACGTGTGTGACATAAGTCTCGTTCTTCATAGCTATAAACTGGTGTATTCTCTTTGTAGTTAAATGTAAAATACTGAAACAGGTATATGTTTGAAATTTAGCGAAGGGAAGTTCTGGTACACTGACAGAAAAATGTTTGGTATTTGTAATTATAATTATATATATATATATATAATATTATACATATAATTATAATTATATATTATTACAACTGTAATTATTACTGCTCTATATATATAAATATTAGTAATAATAACTGTGTGTATGTTTCTATCAACATTTGATGATACAGCTATACATATAATAATTATTATTACTAACATTATAGCAATAATAACTATAAAGACGGAGCTCCTAACAATAATTATTTTAGTATACAATTATAATCAGAAATACCAAACATTTTTCTCTCATTCAATCCAGTGCTGCAATAAAAAATAAATCCGTTCATTAGGGGACAAGTCACGTACTACTTTACCTGAGACTGTAAGGGTTTTTTTGCTTTTCAGATTTCTCTACATCAAAATTCTGGCAAATATATAAAATAGTTAACATTCTAGAAAATACGTTTCCATTATCTTCTGTGCCAAAGAGACTTGGGAAAGCGAAATGCACATGTTTGAGGCATTTTCTCGCGTCTTTCAGACTCCAGATGACGTTGGCTTGTCACGTGGCTCGTTTGTCAATCGTTTCGCCGGTGAAAACTACAATTAGTGAATGTTTTATAGCTGCAACGTAATCGCGCTCCAGGCTGTTTACAACAACAACGTGGTTAACTAAATTAAAATTTTCTCCCAAATGCTGACGCACCAATTTTGAGCGACGTGTGTAGGCGACCGTTACGCTTTCCTCGTCACGTTCTAACGCGGTCGAGCGGGCAAAAACTGGGCCGCGCCAGCTGGATGAAGCTCCATTATATGCTCCAGCAAATGGAGCAATCGAACTGTCGCGGAACTTGAAGTAGCGCTTCCTCGCCATCATTCGCGATCTCGCGCGGATCTCGGCTATATATATGTGTGTATAATCAGATCGGACACGGAGAATCATGGCAATATCCGTCTCTTATCTACGCACTGTAACTACGACCTACGATCACCAATAGAGCGAGCGATCTCTTGTGTAATGTGTCCATGTTTTTACTTCATTAAACAAACCTGTTCTTTTCAGCTGAACAATCGTGCACCGTACATCTTGCCAGATAACAAAAAATGCCTTAAAGACGTCTTACGTCACAATATTAGACTTTGTGTTATTTGGGTTGTATCTTTTTTTCAACAGAGAGAAAAACGGAAAAGATGTACGGTGCAAAAGTTCCGGCTGAAAATGACAATTTATTTTCTCGCGTACTTTGCAGTCGTGTTCACGATAAATGTTTTAGACATTTGCAGGCAAATAAGGCGTTCATAATCGATTCTTACATTTAAGACTGTCTTAAATAAAGTCTTAAGATTCACGAACGAATCGTGGGCTTTCTTCGATAAGCTATTACCTAAGTTTTACGTCTTAAATTATAAGACATCAATCAATCGGTCGAGTGCGAGAAAAATAATCGATTATGATTGGTCAATTTCTTATAGCTAAAGACTTAAAGCTTAGGTAACGACTTAATGTAGAAAGCCTATTAGAGCGCTGTATTTACATCTTAAGACATTACTTAAGATGGAGACTTGAAATAATAGGAACGGATTGTGAATACCAGCTTTACATTTAAAAACTCGACTCGCCTAAAGATACTATCTCGTGCTATCGCTGCGCGTTAAATATATTTTTTTAAGAGATGCGATAGTGTTCTCTATTAGAAAAGACTCGTATCTCATGATAAATAGTATCGAACGTGATCGAATGCCTGGCCGTACGTGTTCGCTGCGTGGATCTTCCAGGGATCTCTAGCGGATTCTGCCCACTTCTGGTCAATTACGGTGGCACGCAGAAGAGACGTAGATCCATTCGCGTGGCGGATCGGCGCACACGCTGCACGGTTTTTTTTTTACAGCCACCGATGTTGCACGGCAGAAAATCGCACGCACAGAAAATATACGTATATCGGAGCACGAGAAAATCAATTCTACTCACACTCTCATTCTCCACGATACGCGATGCAAGCTGCGTACCGAAGCCTGGCAAGGTAGGTAGAACGCAGTAGAAGGGTCTTTACGCGTAAACAGTGTGCGTGTGGAGAGTGTATACGCCACGCGTTCCCGACACCACGTTGCCTTTCAAGTAACTGAAGCGGACTTGTGAACTGCAGCAAAGCAGACCCGCAAGCATCCGGCCGGTCGCCTGCCGTTACTCGATCGCCCCGCTCTTTCCACAAAACGAATCTACCAAACAGGAGGACGCATGCGCGCGCTCGTCGTTGAAAAGGAGCGTGAAAGCCGCGAACTTAAGGCACTTTAGCTGTGTTCAGTAGAAAGACTAACCTTTCCAGATAAAAAAATTGGGTCATAAGACGTTTTTTTTGCGTCTGAAAGATGACTTAAAGATGTCTCATGTCACAATTTTAGACTTGGTGTTGTTTGGGTTTGCCAAATTATTGTTGTATAATTATTTAATACGATTAGTCTTGTCCCTAGTTCCTCACTGGATCTAAATGTATAAACCTATCATATTAAAGAATCTTACAATTGCAAAACTTCTTTTTCTGCTAAACGCAGCCATTATTGCTCATTACAAAATACAGAGGCTAGACATAATAATTTGAACACCTGAGAAATATATATTTCTTGGTTTATTAATAATTAAAATATGTATAGAGAGAATATAAACATATAAAGAGATATTGGAGGAGAAAATTTGCTTCTTATTCTTCAAAATTACTCGCAATGATATTTGAATCGGACGATTGCATTAGCTAGGAAAAACGTTGAAGTTTCGAAGAATAGAGGGAAATTTTTAGAAAAATAGAGTAAGAAGTAAATTTCCTTCCCTAGTATCTTGTATAATTGGAAGCTAGTTCTGTTAAACGAACGTACATTTCATGATATAATTATTCAAGCATTGTACGATTCTATTCCAACAAGAATCTGTATTAAAAGCAAATGTGGGACCAGTTTCTCATTGATAAAACAAGTAAAGTATTTTCCAGGTATTCACGTATTAATTTGTTCATCCTCTCTGTATCTCTTATAATATTGTCTTAAAGATTACAGCGGGCGTATTAACAACGTTGCTGTACAAAACATATTTATTTAATAATTTATAGAAATGCGCATACACAGCGTACAACGTACAAGCGTTCTTGCAGTATCGCTACTTGGTGAAAAGTCGCATTCGATTTTCTAACGATTATGTACAATCACATCTTTCATTTAGCGATCATCGGATGAAACAGGATCGTTTGCTACTTAAGTTCCTCAAGTAAAAGAATCAGATTAAAGCCTGTTCTACAATAAGGCCGCAAGCCATAAGAAATTATTCGATCACAGTCGATTATTTTTTTCATATTCAATTGTGATTGACCAATTCCTTATGGCTGGTTTATGCTTCGGTCTTAATCTTAGTCTTAAAAGTTGGCAACAAAGAATGCCATAAGATCGTTTATGCTTCCCCAGTCTTAATCGTAGTCTTAATTTTAGTCTCAAGAAAGTTCCTATCTTTTAATTTTAGTCCTTGAGATTAAGTTAGGACTATTTTTAAGCATAAGCCAGGCATTATAATTTACAACTTGCGACCCTAATATAGAACAGGCTAAAGACATCGGCTGCCATTAACACGGAACGTAGATTTATCTATCTCATTCTATTTCATAAGATAAAATCAATTAGATATCGACTGCTTGAAATAGAGTGAGAAAGCAACTAATACCAAAATAAGTACTTTACTCGTGTCTTAAGCCTCTACAATGCATAATGGTTTTCCTCTTGGATTTGTTGGCCATGTTACTGGTTTGACTTTAGACGATGCGAGTTTTCGTACTAGATTAGATGAATAGCTGGATCTAAAGGCCATGGCACATAGAAAAACTGAAAACATAAGATTTAAGCAGTAAGTGAATTGGTCCATCATAGTAAAGACCATAAGACCATGCCTACGTTTACATAGCTCGATTTACGCCGAAGTTATAACATCAATATTATGAAACTGGCATCACAGTCATTCCATTCTTCAGAGGAATAGCTATGATTGATCAGTTTTATAACATCGATGTTATAACTTCAATGTAAATCGAGCCATGTAAACGTAGTACACGACGTAAGCAGTAGCGAATCCAACATGATTTCTTTACTGCTTAAGTCTTAAGTCTTAAGTTTTTCTATGTGCCATAACCTTAACTCTGCTTGACAGAAGAGCTCAAATAAATATCAAGTCGTTGCTGTTGTCGCATATCATTAAAAAAAATATAATTAAAATTTTACGTTTATTTTTTCCTTTTATTCTTTTTTTTATCAAGTGAACGTCATATTTCTTTTCATTTCTTTCTATTTAAGCAAATGACGTGTGATCAAATAGAATATTTCGACCACATGACGTAGGATGCGTCCTAATTCATTCTTATAATGAGTGAGCAAAATCGTGTAAGAAGAACAGCATACTTGATCTTTTAGCAGATCAGTCAGCAACGTGTCTATCATATACGTACTATTCTGTTTTATTTATATCGCTTTCTTCTTATTACAGAACAATCAAAAGTTATCATTTAATATTAACTTTTACTTGAGGAACTCTATTTATTACAAGCGACGAGCGCCACTCATTTTGCTCGACACGGCACGCTATTCGATGGCGAATCACCTAAAAATATTTCGCTATCGATTAATTCTCTCTCTCTCTTTCTCACTTTTTCTTTTTTGCTTCTTCTTTTCCAATCGCGAGCCGATGTCGAGAGAAATTTGAGACGCAATTAGAATATGTACGGCCGCGGCGCATAAATATACAAAGTTAAAAAGGCCTGACTATTCAGACCCGATTTCTTTTGTTTACCTAATACAAAGCTTGCGTCTCTCTACATGCAATGTTGTTTGTGTTCTGTCAAAAATATTCTATGTACAAAGATGGGGTATGTGCTTATAAAAAGAATATACGATTTCATAAAATGAAGATCCCCGTGGCTTTATCTCGCGTCGTAAAATATAGAAAATCTCACTCGTCCACTAAGATTCTGCGTATTAGGAGAAAAGATGGTCCGCCGAAACTTAATGCGCAGGCATCGAATCTGTACACAATGCAGTGGCACTTGAATATCTATAAAAAGCCCGTATATGTTACACATTGCGAATTGGAAATACAGATTCTCTCTTCCTTTAAGACGTCGCGATGATTTCCCGTACGAACCACATTTAAACATTATCAGACATAGTGCGCTAATGAGAAAATCTTGAATTGTAAATAGATTTTCAACTATAAAGAGATATCTTATAATTCAACTATAAAGAGATATCTTATAATTCAACATGACAACATGATACATGACAAGAATGCTCTTTGATTCAACAGTAGGATCTCGTTATTACTAATATGCGATAATAATGAGATTCTGCTATTATTAAATATTGAATAACATGTTTCAAAGTCGGTATATCACCTTGTTTCACAGAATCGTTATCATTTCCTAAAATTTCACACAAATGCTTTGCGAATAAACGTAAAAATAAGTACTACAACAGTTAAAATAAGAATGTAACTAGAACAATGTACAAATAAAGGAACAGATCCTTTGTGATTTTTGTACATCCCGAATGTAGAAAGGTTAATCTTGCATATCTATGTGTGATCTATATTGTAACCTCAAAGGTGGGTCCCGGAACCTCCATCTCGTCACATAAACGAACTTCAATGTGTGGTCTTTACCTAATAATTCGTTATTGCACAAAATATCGATCTGTCGAGAAATACAGACAAATTAATAAATGATAATTGTAACATTATCTCCTATATATGATAATTATAATATCATCATCAAATACACTCACATCTCTATATTTTTCCATGCCGTTCAAAGCCTTTTTAGCAATAAATTTTTTCATATGCGTTATCGTAGCCTGAGCTGAACACCTGATAAATCGTCTCTTCAGAGTCTTCAAACTTGAGTTTGTGCACTCCAAACATACGTTAACCTGCAAATATGACACGTTAATTTTAACTGATTAAAGTATTTTACTCTTGTAAACCCCTATATTCTTGACGCTGCAGTTACCTGTTCATCAGTACGATGATAATCTGATTCTGCATGTGCATCCGCATTGGCTTTTTCCTCTTCAACTTCTCCAGCGTTGGGCAAAATATCTTTAGGACAAGGCAAACCTCTGGCTCTGTAAAATTCTCTTTCTCTTTTGATTTCATCTAAAATAAGAAAACATTTCTGTTAATAGTTGAAAAGAAAAATGTATAATGGCTCAATAATAATAAACAATAAATAACAAGGAGCTTGTATTCAAGTGCCCTTAGAAAATGAAATAAAATTAAGAGTCAAAACAAGCAAAAAATCTTTTAACTTTTAATTATTGCTTTATAAAAACAAGCCTTGACTTATTATCCATTGAAATAAAATTCTTACTTTCTTGGAGATCAGGAACTAATTTGTAGACAATATCCTGCATAGTTCTGTCGAAGCTGATGTACTGGAGTGGATGAGACTGATGTATGACAATTTGACATGTCGGACAGGTATGTTTCTCCTCTAAATGCTTTACCAAACAACTCTTGCAGAATGTATGTAAACATTCGGTAACAGTAGTGGCGTCAATTAAATATCCGCGACATATCTTGCACGTTATGTGACTGTTCAGAGTTTTCAGTTTTATCCTTCTTTCCATGGCATCGACAATCACCATTTAACAGAGAGATATTATCTGTAATGACGGATATAATGGTTGCATTAATTAAACATAGATATTAATAACCGAAGGTTACTGGAGCAAGAAGGTTGTTGGAATGAGAATGGGTTATCACTCAAGAAAATACTAGATTGAAGAAAATGCGAACGGGTCGGCTTAATCCGCTGTTACACGAGAACACGCGGTTACGATTTCGGGGCGGTGTGCTAAATGTAATTGCGTGCGGAAAGTGGGTTATCGAATCCTAACCTCAATTTCAAGCGTAATCGCACGATGGTGCTCCGCCAGTTTTTACTCGTCGCGGATCTCTGCGGGGTGGATTCGCAAATCCCACAACATACTTGCACCTCGATTCACGGATTAGGGCGAGTGATTTGTGGAACTAAGGGAGTTTCACTAAAAGCCTGTTTTAAAAACAACTCAATAGTTAAACGTTTACTCATACGACAACAAAACGGATCAAAACGGATTGAGAAACAGAGGAATGAGGCAGATTGACGACGGCGCCGCGTCGCGTCGAACGACTTGAACTTATCAAGAAGTTTGAGAGTGGATACGATCGCGTTTTAAATGTATAGAAATATATACTTATAAGTAGTCCATAAAGCCCTAAACACAATGCGAGGTAACAGCGACAAGAATAGCGATGATATAGAAATAAGCAACCCATACAGCTGATACAGCACAGAATTTGCAGCAATATCGCTGCGAAATCTCTGCAAAAAATAAGGTAAATTTTCACGAGCTGCTCTAATCGGCTATTTTAGCGACAAAAAGGATCACGTGATTAAAATGGACATTTGATATTCGTCAATTTTGACCACGTGATTCTTTTTGTCGCTGAAACAGCCGGTTTGAGCAGCCCGTGAAAATTTACCTACTGTAACATGCAATGTCGCTGCAATGTCGTACCAATGTTACTGCAACTTTTCTGTAATTTTCTGCTGTATGGGAAATATATAAGCTACGGTCCATTTCATGCTATAAATGCTTCGAAGCATTTTTTTTGATTGGTCAATTAGTAAAATTCTTTCTTCTAACTGGTCAATCAAACGCTTTGAAATATTTCTAGTCAAATAGACCACACTCATAATAATTGTTGCCTCCTTCTCCTGTTTCACAATGCCGGGAAAGAAATAAAAATACCAACCAATCTGATCTCGTATAATGTCGTATATAGACTGCAGAATATTCTTTCATCTGCTTCAAGATTATAGCATATATAAATAACAGAATGAAAAATCTGAATACTGATTGGTAGGCTATAGAGTAACTCATCCGATATATACGCCGCGCTGGGATTTATGCCGCGGAAGTCAGAAAAAATACAAGGAGTAGGGGTAATTTTCTCGCAACTACTCTGTTACATGCCTTTATGTTAAGGCCCGTCTACAATACACGGAGTAAGAAGTAAGAGTAAGAAATTGACCAATCACAGTCGAATGTGAGAAGAATAATCGACTGTGATTGGTCAATTTCAAACTCTGCATTATTCTTACTATCTTCCAAATTCATTTGTAATTTATGTTAATACAGTGTATTTAGCTTATCATTTCAACACATGACATTTATTCGATTGCATTTATATTATCAAACTGAATTTAAAAAAGATATGTTAATGATAAGTATTAGGACAACAAAAATAATTTATTAATTATACACACGTGATTTTAATAATTATACAATAATAATAATAAATTATTTTTATATAATTGGTAACGCTTTAGAAACTTTCTCGGGGATTTTTTTTAAAGATACAAAGATTTATGGGTTATTATCGAGTCTTTAACCATTGCCAATGCCAACGTTTCGTGAACCTTGATGTTCACTTCAGCAAAGCGAAAAGCGCCCTGATACTGATGCAGTATCGTGTTTCGTTCATTGCGTGATTAAAATTTGTCTATGATTATCTTATAATATATATATAATAAACATTTTTGAGAAAAATTATATGTGATTATAAAAAATCTTATCAGTATTTCAATAAAAATATAAAATTATATAATCTTCAACATTCATACCATATTCAAAAATTCTTGAACGTTTAAAACTTTTTTATATGTTAGTACGTGTTGGAAGTGCACTAACAGTTGGATAGTAAATAAATCAAATATCGAATAAATTAACAAAGTGTACCCATTTACATTAACCCCGTAAAATTTCCAGACTGCCGTTTCCCGTTATTTTAGGTACATTTTAAATAGGCATTTGATTATTCTTTTAAAACAATGATTTGCGAATTAGGATTGTATTTGCTCTACTGAATTATAAAACTATCTTCAATTTATTTTATAATAAGTGCTGCGGTAAGTACAAAGGCTTAAGTAAAAGTCAAAAAATTACTATGTCTGAAAACTTTTCGAGAATGCGCATTAAGCTTATGTTCTACCAAACATGTTGACATTATTTGAAAAGAAAAGACAAACTGACGAATTTTTCGTCGACAAACACATAATATAGTTCGTACATACTATAGGAAATTGTTTAAATGACATTGTGTGTGTGTGTATTTATTATGCGGAATCCGTTACCGACAATTATTAGTCAACGACGACTTCTCAAAAGAGTAAGATCTAAGTAATCGGAAGCATATCACTAATATTCATATTTCGTTTCGTGACAATTGTAACAAGTATACGAATTATTATCAAAAATTATATCTTAATAGCAACTTTAATAAACAGGGTAAGTTTCCAAAGACACAATACTTTCTTTACAGTTCGTTTGACTTAAATGTATACTTATAAATTAAGTCATTTATTTAAATAATAAATTTTTTAAATCATTTTTCGAATAAAAGTTACTTGGTGTAAAAAGATGATAATAACTTAATTCAATAAAAGTCTTAAATTGTTTTTCTATTACGTTTCATAATTCATTGAAATAATTAGCATGTTCATTTCATTTAAATCTTATAAGGTATTTTAAGACAAATTCAATATAATTGTAATGAAGTATAATTTTTTATTCATTAGAGCATGTGTTGCATTTGACGTTCGTCATGCTCGCGAGTAACATTTCATATTAAGTTTAACATTTGAGATAAATAACAAGGATAAAGAAAAGATTCAGATCTTTTTCTAAACAAGATTAGTTATCTAAAAATATGACGTACATGATTCTGCCATTTAAAAATTATATTTCAAAATAATCGACGGTTATAAAATATTCATGCATATATTAATAATAATATATTTGAATATTTTTTGAGAAAACATATGAAAAGAATAAGAATAATGTGACAAAAATTATTTAAATATACCGTAAGATGTAAAATTTAAGGTGAGATGAATAGCTAAACAGTTGCAAGAAAAAAGTAAGCACTTTTTCGGAAAATGACATTCAAGCAATATAATTATCACAACTACATTAATGTTAGAAATATTATTAAAATTAAAAACATTTAGTGTCATTTAAAAGTTTTTGGCTATTTTTATGTAACAATCTTTCATGTTCCGAATGTTACAATTTCTCATATAATTATTCTTATAATTTGTAGAGCTACAATGCTATTGTCATAATATTCTAGTTTTTTTTAAAATTATTTTTGCAGGTGCTTGGAAGAAAACTTTATGAAATATGAATTTGATAAGTAGCAGCGTAATACTTATCACTATGATAACAGTTCTTGCTGGTAAACATGTATTTTATTCCAATACTGTAAATGATTTCCAGTTACCGTCCTATATGATACCGGTACATTATCACGTAAACTTAGTTCATCTATATACCACAACAAACGAGTTCAGTTGGAAAGAAACATTAAATGTAAACTATGAGAACAGCAGTTTTCTATTTGTCGGAACATCCAATATAACTGTCAATATTCTCCGATCAACACATAATATAAGATTGCATTCATTACATCCGATCGTAAATAATGACGAAGTGACATTGATTAGAAGCGACGGTAAAATTTATCGAATTATTGAATATTCGTCAGAAGCAAATATTATAGAGTTCGGTTTTGACGATGTTCTAACTCCAGACCTTTACACTATAAAAATACAATTCTTCGGTCAACTTTTGAAAAAATATGCTCAAAATTTTTTCGAATATTCCGACAGTAACGATGAAAAGGACGTAACGTAAGTGAATATTCAACAGTAGATTATGGTTTCCATAATTGAACATTACGGAACTAGGTATATACATATACATATAGCTTCGTGATGTTATTCATAATATAAATAAATATAACCATTACTTACTCTTTTTAACAAATTCTTCCTGCGTGACATATTGAAAAAGAATTAATTAGAGTAAACACGACTTGCAAAGCATAAAGCAATCTTATAACAATATTTAATAATACCTTGTAAATCCAACCATACGACTACAAATTTATAATTAGGTAATATTATTTACGGCAATTATAAAAATTGTTATTTATGGTAGATGGTTGATTGCACCAACTATCCAAGCAACTGGACTTGGTCAATTGTTTCCTTGTTGGAGTGAGGCACATTTAAAAGCCACGTTCAAAATGTCTATGAACCATCATCGCAATTATACTGTTTTATTCAACATGCCGGTACAAGCCAATGACAGTACTGATAAAAATTATTGGTGGACACACTTCCATGTTACTCCTCCAATGTCCAATTTGCAAATTGCTATAGTTTTGACCACTTTCTCTCACATTCGTATTAACGAAAACATCACATTGTGGTGTGGAAAATGTTCAGATCAACAATCTGCGAACTTAAAGTTCGTAAAAAGTCTTATAGAAAATATCACGTTGCATTTGCAATCTGAATTTAGTGAAATAATTATTCCAAAAATGGATCACATTGCAATTCCAAATTTTCCATATGATGTCACATCTAAATGGGGATTAATCTTTCACAGGTATACATATTTATATATATACATATATTCACACACACGCACACACATACACACGCGCTCACGGATGTATGACAAACACAAAGTGTTAAACAAGCTATTTATTTATGTAATTCATGACTTCGGAATTTATATACCTTTTTATTTTCATATAATTTTCATCTAATTGAAAGGAACAAATAATATAATAAACAATTATTATCAGTATTATTAAATATTAGATGACCGTTATGTTTTATCGGGAACAGGGACAATTCACGGCAATTATTCATTTTGAGGGATACCGCACCTTGAACTTATTATGTTGTCAAGATCATAATCCTGAATGATCATCAGCAGAATTTAGGTGGCGGTCGCTGTTTGTTCAAAAGGTATTGACAAACAAAGTTTGAAAAATGGTGTCATTTATACTATAACGGTGTCCCTTAAAGTGTATAATTACAAAATTCAATATTCTTGCAAAATTAATTTACAAAATCGATATTTAACGACATACTACACATTTAGTATCGAAGTAGATTTAACATTTAAATAAATAACATTATCTTATCACACATTTAAATATGTTAATTTAAATCTTCGAAATTGTAATTTGAACTTATATGTTAGTTTTATATCGTCTTAGTAAGTTTAATCGACGAGAGTAAAGTAAATTATATGATTTCACTTAAAAAATATAAGCGAAAGTTTTGCATACGAGAATTTATAATCTTTTAGAGAAGCAGATCTTGTTTATGATGAACAAGTAGATACAGTTATGCGCAAGATCAAAATCGCACGTTTAGTAGCGCCTAAAATAGCATATCAATGGTTCAGTAACGTACTCAGCATGTCTTGGTGGTCTCATTTTTGGTTGCACGACGGTCTTGCTACTTTATTTGGGGAAGAAGCTATTGTTAAGGTTTTTACATTTATCTTACAATGGTTTGCACCATATTCATTTTGTAAAATTCAAATGCCAATTTTTACACTTTTACAAAACCTATCAATAGAAAATTTGAAGTTTATGTCAACTGGAAAAAAAAATCTACAAAAATAATTTTGAAAAAATATCCTGTCAACGAATTATATCGACGTTTAGTTTTTTAATAAATTAACAACTTATTTTAACACATATTACCTATTATACCAAGATTAATTATAAATAATTGTTAAAAAGATTTTTAACCGTAATGTGCATAGTGTAGCAGAACACCTACACTAAAATATATATTTCCCAATTTAACGTTTGTATAAATTATAAACTTTTGTTTGCAGATTTTCAATAAACCTAAATTAATGGATTTTTTTGTAGTACAAAGTCAATACGATTCTTTACATTTAGACTCTCATGATATTAATATGAATCCTGCTAAAATTAATAATCTTTCGGAGATTGATGCAATTTTCAGTTTTCCTCGGAGCATGAAAGGTAAGAATAATTTAATAATCTTCTGTAAATTTGATCACGAAAACGTTATCAAAAAAAGTGAAGAATGTAGAAAAATCATATCGTAAAAAAATTCTAATATAATTATATCATCATAGTACTGGTCATTTTACGGATGTTCCAAAATGAAATTTCCACTGAAGTTTTTCGGAAAAATGTCCTCACATATCTACGGAAGCAGTGAGTAATGATAATATAATAATTCACGTTATGTACTACATTAATAACGCATAGGAATGAGTATACGAACATAATAAGATATGAGTATAATATCTGGTATTTATTGACAAAGTTAAAAATAAATTCTAACGTTATTTGTTATATTTTTAATATCTTTGTTTCATCTGCGTTCGCATTTTTTTGTCATTTTTCGTCAATAATTTTATTATGTTGTTTATATCTTTTTCATTCTTCATCATTCCATCTTTTTATACTCCTTATATACTCTTCTCTTTATAATTCATTTACTTTTATAACTTTTTAATAGAAAAGTCATATTCTAAATAAAAATTATTTTATGACATCTAATTATAGAATTTATGCTTTGTATTTATAAATTATACTATAGGGTATAATAAAAATTGCACATTATGATACATCTGAAATATAATGTTATACTACTGTCTATAACTACACATAAGAAAGTTTTAACTTCTCGTTTATGTTCAATTGATTACATTAAACAAAAATTATTTTTATTTAGCACGTTTAGCTCAAACTCATATAAATTCTCGCCGATACACGAAATCTTATATTCTGAAATACGTTATATACCAAATGAATTCCTAACTTGGATCGAAAACGAGAGATACCCTGACGTGTCATGGATACATTTCGAAACCTGGAGTTCGTCCGGTACCAAGGGAAAATTGTTGCAAATGTACGGTGACAGTTATGGAAAATGGTGGATACCTGTAACTTTATATTATCCATTGGTAAATATTGATGTCAGGAAAGTATTTTTAAGCCCAGAAAACCCGATTGCATCAGTACGTTCAAACCCAAAGGATTGGAAGATAGTCAATTTTGAGCAAGCTGGTAAATATATGTACAATGAAATTTGTATATATTTGGTTATATCTTTTGGATCTTGAGTATGGTCTGCTACTTTTTTGTTCGTAATCTTTGTTTATGGATGAACGAGACATTTTATATTTAACTAAGTAGAATAGTACACGACAGAATTTAGTATAAAAAAATATTTCTTTTCTATTTTGTCGTAAAAAAAGGGGTGAGGTAGGTTGAAACTCGATTCATGTAAAAAATACAACTCTCCTTGGTATGGGGATGTATCCATACATGGAGTGATCCTTAATATCATATGTAGCCGAAATAAGATGTTATTTAAAAAGTTTTTTTTTAATAATTTTTTTACGGGTAACAAGCGACGGTTAAAACGTATTGGAGGTCATACAGGATGATCTTGACAACATATGCCAAGGTCAAAATCATCAGAGAGATTTTCTCCTTTCGATATGTTGTCCATATATGTGCAAAATAATTCAGCAAAATATTTTTTACTGATAAATAGGATACTTTCGTGCTAATTATGACACTACAACCGTGTATAGAGTTGAACAACTATTAAATATGGCTAAAGGTCCAATGTGGAAAAATATAAGTGCCATCAATCGTGCGAAAATCATTGATGACGCGTTTCATTTCAAGATGGAACGTAAGTTCAACGGATCATTTTGGGAACTCACGAAACACTTAATGGAAGATACAGATTATGTGGCGTGGTATCCGACAATTAAAATACTTGAATATATGTCGTGTTTAATACCATTTCTAAACAATCAAGACGTTCATTTCGATTACACTCTGGTAATGACCAACAGATACTATTTAACAAACGTACCTTAACAACACAGATCTCCATGGGACGTCCTGAGGACGTCCAAATGACCTACGTACTTACCTTAGGATGTCCTTTGAACATCCTAAGGACATCCTCAGGATGTATCCCAAATAAAGTGTGTTATTAGGGTATACTATATGTATACTACAGATTTTCCAATTTGATGAGCGATTCTTTTCGAACTCATTTTAAATGTAAGACGCTGTTTCATAAAAAACGTGGAAAAATGAATCCTTCCTTGCATTTACAAGAATCATGTGTGTTGTTTAAAATATAAGATAGTTCTCCATCATCATGATTGAATAAAATTTACGTCATTTAGAGGAACATCCGTAGATTATTGGGAAAACCATTTCATAAGCTAGGGGTTACCGAATATCCAATGGATGATGAATTTACTAAATACTTAAGACAAGATATCATGAGATTGTCCTGTTCGTACCGATTCCAAGATTGCGTAATAACAGCTTATGATGTATTAAAACAGCATCTCGAGGATCCTAAGAAAAATCGGTAATATTTTACTAATTAGACGCATATTTTATAATTATAATTTTTACGTTTTAAATCTTGACAAACTTTTATTAATATAAGACGTAATGAACACTTCTTTTTAAGGTGTTTTGTTTTCTTTTTGAAATTCTAGACTTTTGCCAGGGTGGAAGCACTGGACATACTGCAAAGGTTTATTATGGGGGAATAATTTTATGTGGTTCAATATTTTAATACGAAAATGGTTTACCAACCCTCCAGAAAAGTACGAACTGTTACCGTATTTAGCTTGTTCTGGTTTAAGTGTAAATAGTAGTTTATTATTTATAGAACAGTTCGCACAAGGCAAGAGACAAGAAATAGAATCTTACAATCGGATTTACATAAACCTTTTTCATATAGTTTGTACTAAACTTGCTATTGATTATGCGAGCCTTGAGTATATATTCGAAAAGCACCTCGATAAGAAACCTAAGTAAGGACATTTTTTAAATAAATATATGCGATATTTAATAATAATAATGAGTTATAAAATAAAATTGTAATTGTGTGAAATGGTTTTATTTGGTTCAGAGAAGTCAACGCACTAACAGCACTAGTTGATATTATCAATCATATCTGTGTTAAAACTGATCTTATGAAGGTGAGTAAAGTCCAAATTCTATACTCATTTATTAGCTTTTTTCTTGGAAAGCTTACTAATGGTTAGTGTATTAGATGTATATAATATAATATATATATGTATGTGTCTCTGCAAGCTTGTACTTTATTTTTTCTTGTATATCTGTAAGCTTACCCTTTATTTTGCACTTTATAAAAAACGATAAATTTTCGCACGATAATATACAGTTTCTACGGAATGATGATGATAAACTATATGTTAAATATAAACACTTTTGTTTCAGTTTTCAGATCTTCTAATGAATATGAGAAAAAATGGGACTACATTTTCTTTAACTAAATTACAATTTTCAAACGTTCTACGCAAGATACAAACACGAAGTTCAGAAATTGATAGTCATATGCATCATTTTGAGTTTAGATTAGATCTTTAATTTAATTTGAATAACTATATTGCTAGAAGAACATAATGTCAGTTTTTATTTTTCCTGTTTTGGCTCCGATGACGAACAATTTTGTTCGTTTTTACTTTGATGTTATATTTCTGTTCATTACATTTTTAGTTGAACCTTTATATTTAGTCTTTTATTTTAATTGCATATTATTATAATTATCTCATTTCGTTAATAATCCTATCGTGTTCTCGTATTTTGGATACTTGTGTTAGTCGTATTTCATATTATTACAGCGTAAAATAAAGATTTCTTAATTATAATAAGCTATTTATACGACTCTTATTCTTGTATCCATTATTCTTACTATCCTCAAAATTTATTTATAATTTGTATTAATATGGGAGTATCCAGCTTATCTTTTCAACATATGGGATTTATAAATTCTATTTGCGTTTGTTTCATCATAATAGCTTTCTTCCACTTTTGCAATTTGTTTTATTTTTCAATTAAGCAATATCACTCTATGTCTAACTATGAATACAAATGAAAAACTAAGAATTTCTAAGATTTTGTCTCAATCTATGCAGTTTTTCGTAAAAAATTTTCCTTTAGGCATGTTTAGTAGTAAATACTGATAATAAATGATAATAAAGGTAACACCAAATATTAAAATTACTAACGCAATTAACAGAATGAAATTTGCGCTTGAAAATAATTTAACATAAACACAATTGAACACAAATTTAATGTAGAATAAAGCGTCAAAGTTTAATATAATAATAACAAACGTTATTTTTGAATAAATCTAATACATACAAGTTTTTCTGTATACTGATTAAATCAGTTAAAAACGACTCAAACTAATGCTGCTATTAAATGTGTCAATATCAATTTCGAATATTTCGCTATATTAATTTTGTATGTTTTTAATTTTTACTCAGATGTTATATATTGTGTTTATTATATTTTTACTTGTGTGTGAAACTTTATTTCCTTTATCTCTTTTAATTTTCTGCTTAATCTCTGTATTATTAATTATTTTATATTATTAATAATCCTATCCTATTCTTATATTACATATAACATTTTTTTGTTGATTATATTTCATATTATTGTACCATTATAGCGTAAAATAAATATCTCTTAAAAATGAAGTATTTACATACGATTACCTTACTCTACATTATTCTTACTATCCTCGAAATTCATTTGTAATTTATGTTAATATAGTGTATTCAGCTTATCATCTCAACACATGACATTTATTCGATTGCATTAATATTATCAAACTGTATTTAAAAAAGATATGTTAATGATATGTATTAGGACAACAATAATAATTTATTAATTGTACACACGTAATTTTAATAATTATATAATAATAATAATAATAAAATGTTTTTATATAAATGGTAACGCTTTAGAAACTTTCTTGGGTATTTTTTTCAAAGATACGAAGATTTATGGGTTATTATCGAGTCTTTAACCATTGCCAATGCCAACGTTTCATTAACCTTGATGTTCACTTCAGCAGAGTGAAAAGCGTCCTGATACTGATGCAGTATCGTGCTTCGTTCATGTGTGATTAAAATTTGTCTATGATTATCTTATAATATATATATAATAAACATTTTTGATAAAAATTATATGAGACTGTAAAAAATCTTATCAGTATTTCAATAAAAATATGACATTATATAAACAATCTTCAACATTCATACCTTATTCAAAAATTCACGAACGTTTAAAACTTTCTTTATATGTTAGTACGTGCTGAAAGTGCACTAACAGTTTGATAGCAAATAAATCTAATATCGAATAAATTAATCAAACGTATTTATTTACATTAACCATTTAAAGTTTCCAGACTACCGTTTCCCGTTATTTTAGGTATATTTTATGTAAATAAGTACTTGATTATACTTTTAAAACAATAATTTTGGAATTATGATTGTATTTGCTGTACGGAATTATAAAACTCTATCTTTAATTTATTTTATAATAAGTGCTGCGGTAAGTACAAAGGCTTAAAGTATCAAAAATTTAGTTACTATGTCCGAAAACTTTTCGAGAATGCGCATTAAACTTATGTTCTACCAAACATGTTGACATTATTTGAAAAGAAAAGACAAACTGACAATTTTTTTATCGATCAACACATAATATAGTACATACAATAGGAAATTGTTTAGAAGATATTTTGTATTATTATATTAAATCCGTGTGTGTGTTACCGACAATCATTAGTCAACAACAATTTCTCAAAAGAGTCAGATCACAGCAATCGGAGGCATACTGATATTCATATTTTATTTCGTGATAATTGTAACAAGTATACGAATTATCATTGGAAATTATATCTTAATAGCAACTTTAATAAACAGGGTAAGTTTCCAAAGACACAATACTTTCTTTACAGTTTGTTTGATTTAAATGTACCTATAGATTAAGTCATTTATTTAAATAATAAATTTTTTAAACATTTTTTCGAATAAAAGTTACTTCGTGTAAAAAGATGATAATGACTTAATTCAATAAAAGTCTTAAATTGTTTTTCTATTACGTTTCACAGTTTATTTGATTAATTAGCATGTTTATTTTATTAAAATCTTATAAGGTATATTTTAAAACAAATTCAATATATTTGCAATAAAGTATAATTTTTTATTCGTTAGAGGATGTGTTGCACTTGACGTTCGTAATGCTCGCGAGTAACGTTTCATGTTAAGTTTAACATTTGAAATAAACAATAAAGATAAAAAAATGATTCTGGTTTTTTTCTAAACAAGATTGGTTATCCAAAAATATAACGTATATGATTCTGTCATTCAAAAATTATAGTTTTGTCGCGTCGCATGCTCCAATATGCTCCAATGTGCTCCTGTTATAGCTTCTACTCACTTCAACGAGCGCGTTAGAGTGAGTAAATGCTATAGTAGGAGCATTTTAGAATCTGTCACAGCATGCGTCGCGAACAAACCTTATATTTCAAAATAATCGACAGTTATAAAATATTCATGCATATATTAATAATAATATATTTGAATATTTTGAAGAAACATTTGAAAAGAATTAGAATAATGTGACAAAAATTATTTAAATGTACTGTGAGATGTAAAATTTTAGCTATAATGAATAGCTAAATAGTTGCATGAAAAAAGTAAGTACTTTTTTTGGAAAATGACATTCAAGCAATATAATTATCACAACTAATGTTAGAAATATTATTAAAATTAAAAACATTCAGAGTCATTTAAAAGTTTTTTGGCTATTTTTATGTAACAATCCTTCATGTTCCGAATGTTACAATTTCTCATATAATTATTCTTATAATTTGTAGAGCTACAATGCTATTGTCATAATATTCTAGTTTTTTTAAAAATTATTTTTGCAGGTGCTTGGAAGAAAAATTTATGAAATATGAATTTGGCACAGATAAGTAGCAGTGTAATATTTATCACTATGATAACTGTTCTTGCTGGTGAACATGTATTTTATTCCAATACTATAAGTGATTTCCATTTACCGTTCTTTATGATGCCGGTACATTATCACGTAAACTTAGTTCATCTATATATCAAAACACACGATTCCAGTTGGGAAGAAACATTTATTATAAACTATGAAAACAGCAGTTTTCTATTTACCGGAAGATCCAATATAACTGTCAATATTCTTAAGACAACACGTAATATAAGATTGCATTCATTACATCAGATCGTAAATAATGATGAAGTGACATTGATTAGAAGCGATGGTAAAATTTATCAAACGATCGAATATACATCGGAATCAAATATTATCGATTTCAGTTTTGACGATGTTCTAACTCCTGCACTTTACACTGTAAAAATACAATTCCAAGGTCAACTTTTGAAAAGACATGCTCAAAATTTTTTCGAATATTCCGACACTAATGAAAAGGATATAATGTAAGTGAATGTTCCATAGTAGACAGTTTCCATAACTGGACATTACGGAACTATATAATGTATATAGTTCCGTAATGCTATTCATAATATAAATATAACCATTACTTACTCTTTTTTAAACAAATTTTTCCTGCGTGACATATTGAAAATGAATTAATTAGAGTAAACAGACTTGCACAGTATACAATCTTATAACAATTGTTAATAATACCTTATAAAACCATACGGCTAGAAATTCATAATTAGGCAATATTATTTAAGACAATTATAAAAATTGTTATTTATGGTAGATGGTTGATTGCACCAACTATCCAAGCAACTGGACTTGGTCGATTGTTTCCTTGTTGGAGTGAAGCACATTTAAAAGTCACGTTCAAAATGTCTATGAGCCATCATCGCAATTATACTGTTTTATCCAACATGCCGGTACAAGCCTATGACACTACTGATAAAAATTATTGGTGGACACACTTCCATGTTACTCCCCCAATATCCACTATGCAAATTGCTATAGTTTTGACCACTTTCTCTCACATTCGTATTAACGAAAACATCACATTGTGGTGCGAAAAATGTTCAGATCAACAATCTGGGAACTTAAAGTTCGTAAAGAGTCTTATAGAAAATATCACGTTGCATTTGCAATCTGAATTTGGTGAAATAATTATTCCAAAAATGGATCACGTTGCAATTCCAAATTTTCCATATGATGTCACGTCTAAATGGGGATTAATCTTTCACAGGTATGCAGATTTATATATATACATATATTCGCACACACACACACATACACACGCACTCACGGATGTATGACAAGCACAAAGTGTTAAACAAGCTATTTATTTATGTCGTTTATGACTTCGAAATTTATATACGTTTTCATATAATTATTTTCGTATAATTTTTATCTAATTGAAAAGAATAAATAATATAAAAACAATTAGTATCAGTATTATTAAATATTAGATGACTGTTACGCTTTATCGGAAACAGGGAAAATTTACGGTAATTATTCACTTTGAGGGATACCGCGCCGATGACCTTGACCTTAACATATGTTGTTAAGGTCATAATCCTGAGTGATTTTCAGCAGATTTTAGGTGATGGTCGCTGTTTGTTAAAAAGTTATTGACAAAAAAAGTTTGAAAAATGGTGCGTCTTTTCTATTATATGAAACAGAAATTTTCTGCTTTAAAATTTAATATACATCTTACGACTTTCCGAAACTAGTCATTTTCAAGCTTCTTCCCTGTGAACACTTTTGGTCACTGAGTCAAGAACCATAACATACCAAAGTTTCAGCCAAATTCACCGAGGGCCAAAATCTTATGATTTTGTGCGAGATGCTGTTTTTTTTATATATTAGGTGTTGAACTTAATTCCTGCCGTTTTTTGTTTCCAAAATTGATTTGTTTCGAAGGGAAATACCTTAATATATTAAAGTATTATTAATAAAGTATTATTAATTATTAATAAAGTAGAAAATGGAGGAAATTACTTTGATTAAGGTATTCATTCATCTTCCCTTCGAAACTAATCAATTTTGGAAACGAAAAACGGCAAGAATTCAGTTCAACACCTAATAGTAGAAAAATAAAGACACCAATTTTCAAACTTTTTTTGTTAATAACTTATTAACGACCAGCGATCCCTACCTAAAAACTGTTAGGAGATCACTCAGGGTTATGACCTTGACAACATATGTCAAGGTTGAGGTCATCGGCGTGGTGTCCCTTAAAGTGCATAATTAGAAAATTCACTATTCTTACAAAATTAATTTATAAAATAGATATTTAACGACATACTACACATTTAGTATCGAAGTAGATTTAACATTTAAGTAAATAACATTATCTTATCACACATTTAAATATATCAATTTAAATTTTCGAAATAGTAATTTGAACTTATATGTCAAAGATTATATTTTATATATATCGTCTGAGTAAGTTTAATTGAGAGTAAAGTAAATTATATGATTTCACCTAAAAAAAAAAATAAGCGAAAGTTTTGCGTATGAGAATTTATAATGTATTTTAGAGAAGCAGATCTTATCTATGATGAACAAGTAGATACAGTTATGCGCAAGAACACAATCGCACGTTTAATAGCGCCTAAAATAGCATATCAATGGTTCAGTAACGTACTCAGCATGTCTTGGTGGTCTCATTTTTGGTTGCACGACGGTCTTGCTACTTTATTTGGGGAAGAAGCTATTGTTAAGGTTTTTACATTTATCTTACAATCGTTAGCACTATATTCATTTTGTAAAATTTAAATGTCAATTTTCACACTTTTACAAAACCTATCAAGAGGAAATTTGAAGTATATGACAACTGGACAAAAAAATTTACAAAAATAACTTCGAAAAAATATCCTGTTAACGAATTATATCGACATTTAGTCTTTTAATAAATTAACAACTTATTTCACATATTACCTATTATACCAAGATTAATTACAAATAATTGTTAAAGAGATTTTTAATGATAATGTGCATATTGTAGCAGAACAACTACACTATAATGCATATTTCCCAATTTAACGTTCGTGTAAATTATAAACTTCTGTTTGCAGATTTTCAATAAACCTAAATTAATGGATTTCTTTGTAGTACAAAGTCTATACGATTCTTTACATTTAGACTCTCATATTAATATAAATCCTGCTAAAATTAATAATCTTACGGAGATTGATTCAATTTTCAGTTTTCCTCGGAGCATGAAAGGTAAGAATAATTTAATAACCTTCTAAAAATTTGATCACGAGAACATTATCAAAGAAAAGTGAAGAATGTAGGAAAAATCATATCGTTAAAAAAATTCTAATATAATTATATCATCATAGTACTGGTCATTTTACGGATGTTCCAAAATGAAATTTCCACTGAAGTTTTTCGGAAAAATGTCCTCACATATCTACGGAAGCAGTGAGTAATGATAATATAATAATTCACGTTAAGTACTACATTAATAACGCATAGGAATGAGTATACGAACATAATAAGATATGAGTATAATACCTGGTATTTTTTTATAAAGTTAGAAAGAAATTCTAACGTTATTTGTTATATTTTTAATATCTTTGTTTCACCTGCGTAAGTACTACATTAATAACGCATACGAATGAGTATACGAACATAATAAGATATGAGTATAATACCTGGTATTTTTTTATAAAGTTAGAAAGAAATTCTAACGTTATTTGTTATATTTTTAATATCTTTGTTTCACCTGCGTTCGTATTTTTTGTCATTTTTCGTCAATTTTTTTCTGTTTTTTATATCTTTTTTTTCTTTATCATCCCATTTTTTTATACTCCCTATATACCCTTCTTTTTATAATTTATTAACTTTCATAACTTTTTAATGGAGAAGTCATATTCCAAGGAATAATTATTTTATGACATCTAATTACAGAATTTATATTTTATATTTATATATTATGTTATAGAGTGTAATTTAAATTGCATAATTCAACTAAAATATAATGTTATACTACTGTCTATAAGTACACGTAAGAAAAGTTGTAACTTCTCGTTTATATTTAATTGATTACATTAAACAAAAATTATAAAGATCATGCGTTTCACGGGTTTCCTCCGTGTCCAGATTCATTCTTGAGATGCCAACGTTTCGTGAACCTTGCAGTCCACTTAACCAAGGCGAGGGGCAGTCTGATACTGAGCTGTTGCTCTGGGTCATTCCTTTTTATATTACGCTGCTTGTTGGGGTGGTGGGGATGGGCGGAGAGGGGAAAGAGGTTGTTGGAGGGGAAAGAGGTGGTGGAATTGGTCGGTCTTCAATAACCGGGAGAATGGTCTTCCATATTTTTTATTTTTGTTTTAGCCATTATCTCTATTTAAATTGTTAGGGTGTTTTTGTATCTCTATGGCTTCTCTGTACTTTCTTGGAAGGTATGATGTATTGTGGTCGTTTTATCAAACAGTATTTGATGTCCTGTTTCGACGTTGTGTTCTGATAATGCCGACTGCGTGGTGTTTTAGTCTGACATCACGTTGGTATTCTTTGATCCGTAGGTTAACCATTCTCCCGGTTTCTCCAATGTATACTTTTCCGCAGGAACAAGGTATTTTGTATACTCCTGCGGAACTGAGTGGAGGTCTTTGATCTTTAGGATTTCTTAAGATTTGTCCTATCTTTTTGGGTGGTTTGAAGATAGTTCGGATATTGTGTTTGTTTAATATCCTGCCAATCCGATCTGTTGTTCTTTTGACATATGGGAGGATTGTTAGGATCCTTTCGTCTGGTTGTGTGTCAAAGACCGTTGTCTTGCTTGCATGTTTATTGATTATTTTGGTTATATCTTTTTTGTCGTGTCCGTTTTTCTGTAAGACCAGTTTGAGGTGGTTGAGTTCTATCTGTAGATGTTCTTTGTCAGAGATGGTGAAAGCTCTCTATGTACTAGTGAATTAATTGCTGACTGTTTTTGTGCTGGGTGGTGGTGCGAATCGGCATGTAGATATCTGTCTGTGTGTGTTGGTTTTCTGTACACTTGATGACCTACGGTACCGTCAGCTTTCTTAAGTCTTGTGTCCACGATGCTAGAAATCGGTCCGAGATCTCGGACAGAGAAAAAATTAACAAATCACATTTGAACAATTTGATCACATGACCATTGCGATTGGTCAATTCTTTCTACATCCGAGTTCTCGAACCGATTTCTAGCATCGTGGACACAAGGCTTTAGAGACAAGAATCATCTAGAAAAGGGAGTTTTCCGTTTTCCTCTATGTCTATAGTGAAGTGGCTATTTGGATGTTGTTTGTTGAGGAAAACAAGGAATTTATGTAGTTCGGCTCTGCCGTGTCTCCATACCACGAATGTGTCGTCTACATAAATTCCACCACCTCTTTCCTCTCCCACAACCTCTTCCCCCTCTCCGCCTATCCCCACCACTCCAAGCAGTGTAATATAAAAAGGAACGGCCCGGAGGAACAGCTCAGTATCAAACTGCTCCTCGCCCTGATGAAGTGGACTGCAAGGTTTACGAAACGTTGGCATCTCAAGAATGGATCTGGACACGGAGGAAACCCGCGAAACGCATAACCTTTATACAGAAAGCACCCGTGGAAGTCCCAAGAATGTTATTAAACAAAAATAATTTCTATTTAGTATGTTTAGCTCAAGTGGTTCTTATAAATTCTCGCCGATACACGAAATCTTAGAGAGGAAAAATTCATATAATATATCAAATAAATTCCTAACTTGGATAGAAAACGAGAGATACCCTGTTGTGAGATATAAACAAGAAACTCATTGGCAGGGAAAAATGTGGCAAACGTACGATGATCTCGTGTATTATGGAAAATGGTGGATACCTGTAACTACATATTGTCCATATTCATCTAATGAAACCATAAAAATATGGTTAAGCCCAAAAAAACCAATTGCTCCTGTACCATATATGGATTTTCCCAATACTATCAGAATGATCAATTTTGAGCTAGCCGGTAAATATACTATGAAATGTACTATGAAATTAATTATACATATTTGTCTATATTTTTTGGGTCTTGAGTATGGTCTGCTATCTTTTTATTCATATTCTTTGTTTATGGATAAACGAGACATTTTATATTCACCTAAATAGAGTAATACACGTTAGAACTTATTGTTAGTATAAGAATTTTTTTTTCCGATTTTATCGTAAAAAAGAGGAGAGGTAGGTTAATTTCGAATCATATGGAAAATACAACGCTTCTTGGTAGGGAAATATATCCATGTATGCGAGTGATCCTTAGTATTATATATAGCAGAAATATGATGTCATTAAAAAAATTTTTTATTAATAATTTTTTGACAGATAACAAGCGACTGTTAAAATGTTTTGGGGGTCACTCAGGGTGATCTTGACAGCATATATTAAGGTCAAAATCATCAGAGAGATATCCTCCAATCGGCATATTATTCATAAAACATATATGTCTAAAATAATTCAGTAAAATATTTTTTTTTGCTAAATAGGATATTTTCGTGCCAATTATGATATTAAAACCATGCAACACATTGTATTTGAATTAGAAAATATGAATAAAGTTTATGGTCAACCTATAAGTGCCATCAATCGTGCGAAAATCATTGATGATATGTTTCATTTCATGATGGAACGTCATCTCAACGTATCTGTATTTTGGAACTTCACACGATACTTATCGAAAGAGACAGATTATGTGGCGTGGTATCCGATGATTAAAATATTTGAATATATGTCGACTATGATACCATTTTCAGTCGAGGAAGTTAAGTACATCAATATTAAGGTAATAACCAACAAATACTATTTAACAAACGTATTGTTTTTATATTGTCAACTGTTAGGCAATTTCAAATTGTACTTTATTTCCGAATGAAAAATTCAATTATGTTTCTTGTTATCTCATTTTGAAACAAATTAAGATAATATAAAATGATATATACGTAGGAACAAAGTTTTTTTGTCGCAGTTTTAGGTATATTTTAAGGAATAAATATCTCTCGCGCGCGCACTTGTCGTATCGATTATATATAAAAAAAATTCACGGTAGGTTTTTTAAAATAAATTTTTTAATAAACACATTGTTAACTAAAAGCATTGTACCTTTCCTAACCACATCGATAAGTATCTATTGATAACTATTAGGTAACTCCCAAAAGATACATTATATTTGATCGATTAGATACAAATGTGCCTTCAAATAATTTTATCTAAGATTGAAAATACAAGAAATTCAAAGTAAACCAATTATTTTGTTTTTTGTTAGTATGTTGAATGTTACATGTTTTTTTTTGTTATAAGTTTATTAATTTCAAGATATTGCCTAAAAAAAATTTAAGAAACATGTACGTATATATATCTAGACATCACAGAACCCAGGAAAAAATAGTTCTTTTTAGATCTCTGAATTATGTGTGAAATGTATTTTTTGGGAGACGAATTAAGGGGGAGGGGTTCACTCTCTGTATATAAAATAAATCTTTTATAATTTTTTAAATTAATATTTTTACTTTTTTATATATGTTTATCTTTAAGAATTTACATTGTATTTATAAACGTAGATTATATTCAAAATTTTTATTAAACATTGTTTTTAAATATCAATGTTTTTATTAAGAACAATAATGTTTAAAACAATGTTAAATAAAAATTGCGTTTTAATATTCACATCCAACAACGAAAATTTTAATATATTATATTAGAAAATTTTTTAAGTTCACGTTACATACATATACATGTATACTATAGATTTTCCGATTTTATGAACGATTCTTTTCGAATTTATTAAATATAAGGCGCTATTTCATAAAAAAACGTAGAAATGTTGAATTCTTCCTCGAATTTATAAGAATCATGTGTGCTGTTTAAGATAAGATAGTGCTCCATCATCTTGAGTAAATAAAATTTACGTCATTTAGGAAAAATTTTGGGAATTGGTTGATAAACCATTAAAGACACTAGGGTTTGAAGAAGATTCAATGGAAGATGATTTTACTAAATTCTTACGACAAGAAATCGTAAAATGGGCATGTACGTTCCAACACCAAAAATGCTTACATACAATTTACGCTAAATTAGAAGCGCATCTCCAGGATCCTAAGAAATATCGGTAATATTTTTCTAAATGGACGATTATTTCATAATTACAATTTTTACGGTTTGAGAATCTTGACTAACTTTTATCAATATAAAACATACTAAATACTTCTTTTTAACGTGTTTTGTTTTTTTTTTTGAAATTCTAGATTTTTACCAGGATGGAGGCAGTGGACATACTGCAAAGGTTTATCAGTCGGTCATAATTTTATGTGGTTCAATTTAATAAATATATGGTTTAAAAACTCTCAACCAAACAATTACGAGCTGTTACCGTACTTAATTTGTTCTGGTTTAAATGTAAATAATAGTTTATTATTTATAGCACAGTTTATTCAAGGCAAGAGACAAGAAATTGAATCTTACAATCGGACTTACATACACATTTTTCATTCAATTAGTACTAAACTTGCTATCCAATATGACACCCTTGAACGGATGTTAAAAAAGCTTAACGATATAAAACCTAAGTAAGAACATTTTTTAAATAAATATATGCGATATTAAACAATAATGAGTTATAAAATAAAATTGTAATTGTGTGAAATGGTTTTATTTGGTTCAGAGAAATCAACATACTAACAGCACTAGGTAATATTATCAACCATATGTATTCTAAAACTAATCTTAGGAAGGTGAGTAAAGTTAATCCAAATTCTATACTCATTTATTAGCTTTTTTCTTGGAAAGCTTACTAATGGTTAGTGTATTAGATGTATGTAATATAATATATATATGTGCATGTATCTCTTGTAAGCTTGCACTTTATCTTTTCTTGTATGCTGTAAGCTTGCACTTTATTTTGCACTTTATAAAAAACGATACATTTTTGCACGATAATATACAGTTTCTACGGAATGATGATAATAAACTATATGTTAAATATAAACACTTTTGTTTCAGTTTTCAGATCTTCTAATCTATATGAGACAAAATGGGACTACATTTTCTTTAACTAAATTACAATTTTCAAAGGTTCTACACAAGATACAAACACGAAGTTCAGAAATTGAAAGTCATACGCTTAATTTTGAGTTTATAAGTGATTCTTAATTTAATTTGAATAACTATATTGCTTGAAGAACATAATGTCAGTTTTTATTTTTCCGGTTTTGGCTCCAATGAACAATTTTTTTCGTTTTTAATTTTTGTTCAGATGTTATATATTATGTTCATTGCATCTTTATTTGAATCTTATTTTCTTTATCTTTAGTCTTTTGTTTCATTTGCATATTATTAATTATTTTTCATTGTTATTATAATAATTGTATTGTGTTCTCATATTATACATATATATGTATCTGTATTAGTAATATTTCACATTATTATACTATTACAGAGTAAAATCAATATCTCCTAATTATAATAAATTTTTTGTAGGACTATCTTATTCTACATTATTTTTACTATTCCCAAAATTCATTTGTAATTTTTATTAATATGTTGTATCCAGTTTATCACTTCAACATATAGCATTTATAAATTCTATTGCATTTTTTTTCATCATAATAGCTTTCATTCATTTTTGCAATTGTTTTAAAAGGATTCCATCATTTTGTCCAAATTATCTGTGTTTACAAATGGCACGTAACAAAAGTGAACGTTCCATTTCTCACTTTTAATGTCACACACACACACGATTCAATATCTAGCCGTTGTGACTATTCAGAAGCTTTAAATGGTTTCCTAATTTTTCAGAGGAGTGTATTTGAATATTTGCATAGTTTGCATAATGTTTTAACTTCATCGTTTACTTATGACCTTCCAGCTGCTTTTTGTGCAATTTTATTTTGTAGCAAATATGCAATTTTTTCTCTCTTTATACCATTTTAAATTGTATGATCTGTGTATTTTATATATTACAAAAATGAAAACTGTATATGTTTATCCCGTTTTTTCCTCTTTTTATTTAAGTTTTTGTATTAATTATTTTTAAATTAATTATAGCATTAATTATAGGGAAAATAAAGGTTATAACGCGCAACACATGAATAGCAAGAAGCTGTTCAATGCTTTTTTGGTAGGAAAACTCAGAAAGTAATAAAGGGTTACTTTATTTTGACAGTTTGATCGATTTATTCGAGATGAAACTCGTATCGTGATGATGATTCCTTTACATTTTACATGGTTTATACACAAAATCTATATAAAGTCTCAGGTAAATTCTAATTTATCTGTGTTTATTTTCTACTTTCAAATAACAAATAATCTTTAAATAAACGCCTATATGTACAAGTCACAAATTAAAAAGTTACTTTCTAATACGTAAATCGATTGTTGTCACTTTTTACAAAAGGGTCGCTCAAGCTAGATATATTTTAAAATTACGTAAGAAAAAAGGAAGAGATGTACATACATATACCCAGACAGCCAACTTTCAAAAAGAGATTCTACAAATTATCCGTTACAAATTTTTCAACAAAAAGAAGAACAGATTTGGTGCAACATCTGGCATGTACAATACTGTTAGTAGAATGCTGGTAGAATTATAGCAATATTTATCAATAAAATATGTGGTGGCAGATAGATTGATTGAAATCACACGATGACATACTTACTGCACTGTTTTAATATAAATTAGCTACGAAACGACAGCAGAAGTCTAAGTTTTGCTTTTTGTTTTTGCCGCCAATCTACTGCCAAATTATATCTGCAAAATATGCACTTATATAATGTAAACACAAGTAATGTCAATTTGCTAGCAATTTCTAAATGAATTTTTTACTGCAATATTTCGGACGGTTTGCTTACTGGATATACTTGAGACACATTGATATATAATACAAGAAATAAATTATCTACCTCTAAGCGCTTTTCTCCTATTTATACACGTATCGTGATCGACATTGATACAATTGCAAGACTTATAACGATAGTTTGGACTTTCTTTTCGAAATTATCGTTTCTTCTCACGTTTAATCTCTTACCCCACAGTACATTCTATTTCAACAACATTGATTAATGTTGCTAGAATGCTCTGTACTATATGGGATGTGTGTCCAAGTCTTCTTTTTTTTTTACAAAACACTGTTACAGAACTTGCTCGCCACATACAAAATCTACGGTTCGCCATCCGCTAATGCTAATCGCGTGAAAACTCTAAAAATCTATCAGCTACTATAATACAAAAAAAACATACAATTTCCACAGTTGACTAGTTACAAAACAAAATATCATGTTTGATATTCATCAGTTTAATATTTGTGTGATCTACGCGACCAACACGTGGACGAATATCACCATTGTGATAACTTATCTCTTTATTTATTGTCGTCCGATATGTCCGCAAGGCACTGATATCATGGCACAATTATTACATCTATAAATACTTGTAAGATCTGTATAAGCACTATACACAAATACGCTTCTTGTATTTAAGGGCGTAGCAAAAGATAATGTCCTTTCAGTTTTCCGCTCGTCGCTCGTCCTCTTCTTTTGTCTTAATCGAAGTTTTCTAAACCTAGTGTATGTCAATTTGTGAGAAACAGTAGCAACAATCATAGAATGTTTTGTCGATGCGCGATTACTTGATGTATGACATACACACTATTTCTTTTTACGATTAACTCATTCTCCTTAATTCTACACAGTTCAATACTGATTTATTTTATTTGGCGTGTTCGCTTGTTTCAGTCTATTATCCTTGTGATCTCTCACGCTAAGACTCCTATTCTCTTTATTTCCTATCGTGTCCACTTCGTTCGCTTTCGCTGAGTTTATTATTATGTTTGCGAGTTGACGAGTCTGAGTTATCTCAAGTATCTCGTTTATAAGATTTAAGTGACATTCTTCGCGAGTATATATACGACTCATAGTAGATAAGGAAATTTGTCTTCGCCTTCCTCTTCTGTCTCGCTGGATTCTTGGCTGGACGGAGGCGTATCCAACTGGGGCAGGCCGAGATCCAGATATTCCTAACATCAAAAAAGTATGTATAAATCAGAACTGCTACTATTACAAAAGTTCTCCTGCTTATTTATCATCATATGGATACCACAACTCACCTCGTTCGCTGTTATCGTTAATATTCTGTCGAGATCCTCGACCAGTTCGACAAATGTCGGTCGTTCACTAGGCTGATAACTCCAACAGTCTCTCATGAGCATGTATCTATAAGCAAGAAATCGAGATAAAATGTAAAGATGAATCGTATATTGAGAATACATTATGTAGTCACATCGCTCATAAAGGCATGCCTTACATTTCGATCGAGCAGCAGGGCGGTTTTTCCATTCGATGACCCGTTCTAAGCAGCTGGAATAATTTCTCCACCGATGGAACGGACGGGTAAGGCGTGCCGCCCAGGGTCATGATTTCCCACAACAGGATCCCGTACGACCATCTAGAAGAAATCGCAGTAAAATATGTTAACACTAGAAGTACCAACGTTTCCTACTCATTAAAAAGATCAAGCGAATAAATTACTAAAAAGTGAAAGTTAAAAACGTGATGAAAAACCAAATATTTTATCAGTGTAAAGGACATAATTATTAAAAAGTCGAAACATTTCAGAAACCTCCTTTTTACAAAAAATATAATATCAATTTTATCGTATAAAGTAGAAATGGTCATTAATTGCTCGGTAAATCAAGTTTTAAAAGATTTAAAAAACGCGGAAAAATGTGGAGTAAGCCGGAATAATTAAGTATTTTTTTATATTAAATGAAAGAATTATTATATCCCTGAATACTCACACGTCGGATTGAGTGGTGTAAACACGATGAAAGAGAGCCTCTGGAGCCATCCACTTCACCGGCAACCGTCCATCCGTTTTCTTCCTATAGTAGTCGTTGGAATGAAGGTCTCTGGCGAGACCAAAGTCACCGATTTTCAACACATATTCATCGCTGACGAGGACGTTCCTAGCTGCCAAATCCCTGTGTATACATCTCTTACTAGACAGGTACTCCATCCCACGCGCCACTTGGTACGCAAACGAGACCAGATCTTTTTGCGTAAGGGTCTTCCGCTCTTTCAACTCCTGTCCGATAGCCGGTTCGTATCCCAAAGAGGGCCTGTGCTCTCGGAGGAAGTCTCGTAGATTGCCGTGAGGAGCGAACTCCACTATGACGTATAGAGGACCGTTCTGAGAACAAACACCCAGTAGATTGATGATGTTCACGTGCTTGCCAATTATCTTCATCACTTCCATCTCCGAAACTAAATCCACCATGTCGGTATCTGTGTGGCCCTCTAAGAACAAAAATATACAGTAGAAAACATTTTGTATTTGTATTAAAACCTGTTAAAATTATTGTGTTAAATTTTTAATATATCCGAGTGTTACGTGAATATCCTGTATTAAATTAATATTTAATATTTCTTAGTGTTAAAATAACACAATTTATGAATAAGTAAACAAATAATATAATAACTTGCGTATTTTTAAACATAAATTCTAAAATAAAATGAATAAAATGTGTTAATTTAACATATTATAAATATTAATTTTACTAAAGGAATACACTTTCACAATTTGTAAACAAATTGTGTCAGTGTTACTTTTTTTGTGTTAATTTTTACGTAATTCTGTTATTTCCTAACATATTCATCTTGTTAAATTAACACAAAAATCTGTTGAATTTTTTGAAACACATTGATTTAACACAAATTTTTCATCTATGTATAGACGTGTACAGAATATAAGATACATACATATACAGGGTGTCTGGAAATTACCGCTAAATGTTTCGTGCGTGGGTAGAACAGACTATACTGAGTTGGAAAGTACCATTTTGCGGTGTCAGCAATAGTTAACGAGATATTAATTAACAATTAAATAAAATAAACCGTAGTTTTAATAAAAACAAACAATTATTTGTCTTAAAGGCATATACCACGAACACGAGATAACAGTGGCGATTATTTTAAATTTTTTATTAAATACAAAGAATTGAAAATAAACGTTTTGGTCCCAATCGGACCGTCTTCAGTATTAACAGTTATAATGTAAATTAATTAGCATGTTTCTATCCTCCGCAACATATTTTACGATTTGGTTAAGCCGTCATTCTTACTTATAACTTAAACTTCTAATCATATCATTTTTAACGCGTATCATAACAATAAAAATTTTTTTCTCCTTAAAACGGAAGTCATAAATTCTTTTCGTCCCTTATGTTTCACACAGGTGACACAGGTGCGCTTAAGGTTATAATAGTCTTAATTGTTTCACGTGTATTAATACTGGTGTTGTTATTAGAATCACGAAGTTTGCGTTCTATTATCGATTTTATGGAGGGCTGTGATGTATTGTGATAAATTGACTGATATTGTTAAATTAACATAATCGCACAGGTATGTGATAAGGAAAATAATTGTATTTAAGTAAGTTTATGACTATTAAAAATTGATAATTTGATAGAATCAGGTAACTCTGTGTGATACAACAAGGAATTTTTCGATGTGACAAATGAGACTAGCAAAGTATGAAGCATAAGGGACGAAAAGAATTTATGACTTCCGTTTTAAAGAGAAAAAATTTTTATTGTAATGAGAGAAAGAAAGATACGCGTTAAAAATGATATGAAAATGATTAAAAGTTTAAGTTATAAGTAAGAATGACGGCTTAACTAAATCGTAAAATATGTTGCGGAGGATAGGAACATGCTAATTAATTTACATTATAACTGTTAATACTGAAGATGGTCCGATTGGGACCGAAACGTTTATTTTCAATTCTTTGTATTTAATAATAGATTTAAAATAATCGCCACTGTTATCTAGTGTTCGTGGTATATGCCTTTCAGACAAATAATTGTTTGAGATATTAATTACTAAAAATTGCAAAATATTGGTCTTGAATAATTTTTTACTCAAATACTATCAACTTTACAGAAAAACTATGAGAGACAAAAATCATTTATTTTCTTCTCATAAAGTTCTGAGAATTTTTTCAGAATTTTTTAATACCGTATTTTCTCATGTTGGTAAAAATAAGAAAATGCAGTACTAAAAAGTTAATAAAAAATTCTGAAAAAATTCTCAGAACTTTATGAGAAGAAAATAAATGATTTTTGTTTCTTGCAGTTTTTCTGTAAAGTTGATAGTATTTGAGTAAAAAATTATTCAAGACCATTATTTTGCAATTTTTAGTAATTAATATCTCGTTAACTATTGCTGACACCGCAAAATACAGGACTTTTCGACTCAGTATAGTCTGTTCTACCAACGCACGAAACATTTGGCGGTAATTTCCAGACACCCTGTATACAGCGATGGGAGAAAGTTCGGCAACGGTCAAATATCTTGGAAAATAATGCTTATGGAAAAAAATGTTCAATACAAAAGTTTTAGTATATCAAGTGGTCTATTATATGGTTATGTTGAAATGACCTTCATGTGACCTTGAAGGACACCATGAAGGTCAACTTTGAAATCTTAAATGGAAACACCAATTTTCTCTTACATATCCTTAAAGCTGGTGTCAAGACGTTTCCGAAACACT